CACACTCTGCGGGTGAGCGCTGCACAGCCTGCCCCAGCCTGCCGCGGGTGCTGCTTGCTTCATCCTGGACAAATGGGGCTGAGGAGGAAGGGCTATTGCAGGAAACTGCTCTAGGGGAACCAAGGAGGGTATAAAACAGTGTAAAAGATGAACAGCAAAGCCAAATAAAAATCCCCACGAACTGCTGAGTTCGAGCTTGCTGTTGGGTTACATGATATCGTTGCTGCTGATACTCTGTACCACTGATGTGTCGGCTTACCAAAGTTAATTTAAGGTTTGAGGGGAGAGCCAGGGTCATAAAGGAGTGTTCAGCTCTCTCTCTTTCTACAGATCTGGGCGTAACCTGAGATCCCGTACGCAGAGTCAAATGAAGACTGAAACCCTGGACTACAAAAACTGCATAAAGAAGCCATTCCTCAAAATCAAATATTCACTACAGTCCAAAAGAGTGACACTCAGCCCACAGATTAAGACAACTAGGTAGAAAATGTAGTCTGCTTGAACACGTAGCAAACATCAACTTGTAGTAAAATGAAATGTTTTGCTTTTTTTGAAACGATATTCTTTTATTAGAATTAGTTTCATTATTTATAAAGGGACTTTTCTCCAAAGTCACCTGTATCATTGAGTATTTCAGTGCACATTATGTATTTATTTGCATGAATTTAGTTCCTTTTTAAAGTAAAAAAAAGGTCCTGATTTTATCGGGATATAGCGAAAGGCTTTGGAAACATTCCGTAGTAGCATATTGAATTTCAGTGTTGAGAAATGGAAAGAGAAACAATTCTGATACTTTATGATGATGTTATGGATGACTGAACCTTGGTGGTAAGTAGAGGAGCAAAGGACCTGCTGTGAAGGTACTGGCTGCTGTCATAGAAATGTATTTTTTGTACAGAAAAAAAAATCCCTTCAATCCCTGTTTTTTCCTACTGTCTTTTTAGATAGAAATAAGTATTTCATCTCTGTTACCTGAATATAAAGAATCTAAATATATACAAACTTATAAACAGCAAAGAGGAGGGATATAAACATGATTTACATAATCATGAGGTAATACTTAACCAGTAGTTTCTTAGAAATTTTTAATTGTATCACTTGGTGAGTGAATTTTCTTTTACTTAAAGAAATACTACATGCTAAGCACTAAGGGATACTACACGCTAAGCATTAAGCACCATTATACTGATGGTCAAATCTTTTCCAAGTCAATCATAATCATTCTATGACCACGATTCTTATTTGCATTTTGAGCAGTTCATACAACTTTGGCAAGGCAATGTAGCTTAAATGTATATTAAAGCAGTATATACCCATCTTAAGGTCCTTCTGCAATGTCAGAGCAGTTGTAAGTTCATGCAAATACAGGTGAAATCATACAGTCCTTACTGTCACAGTCATCTCCCACTGCCATGGACATGGTTTTGTCATAGCTGGCCTTGAGAGTGAATAACAGTGAGCTGTTGAAAATCTGCTGTGAGCCACAGTCCTGCCAGTGCTTGATACTGTGCTGACCAGAGCACATGACTTCCATCTGATCCAGGAGTCACTGGTTTTCAGGAGAGCAGGACAGCTGGCCACATTGCTGGCAGCACCCAGCCCTCTGTGTGAACATGGGAATGCCATGAGGACTGGCAGGACCACCCCACACAGAAGTGATGCTCTAGAATCAAGATTTAATCAGATAAAGATGAGATACAATTAATTAGGGAACCATTGTGAGATTTTATCTGCGTTCATACATTGAAATTGTTGGGACTAGAGTGTGTCAGCTCTGCTCATACCAACAGGTTCTGAGTCTCTCCTGAGCACAGGCACAAAGAGCTGGAGTAATGCTGCAGTAATGCCTGCCCTTGGAAATGCAGGTGGTGAGCTACAGCTCTGAATATAGCATATATATGATTTATATTTAGATTGGAACAAGAGAAAACAAGCTTACTGGAATGAACCTGTTTACAAGCTCACTGGTCACTGGAGTTTAATGAGAACATCCTCATTCTATTTGCAAGTGGTATTTTTTTACAATTATATAAAAATCATATTAGAAACAAAGTCTCCTCATCCATGAAAACCTTAGGTTCTGTCAATCCATAACCAGTAAACCTAAGACACTGACATTTATACCAGCCTTCCATCCCTAATGGAATAGGTCAGCTGTTTTCACTTGGAAAAGTCAACTCTGATGCTTTGCAATATTTGTGGCAAACTATCCCTGTAACAAACTGAATGCACTATGGAAATGTCATATAGAACTCACTGTGCAATATTGAGTCAATACACTGTACACATTTGATCAAAAGATTGATATTAATGTTTAGGTAGTATTTATTGGCAAGATGTTTGTTTCAAACATAATACATTGTGTTGATACTTATGAACAGCCTAAATACAATAAATTGTATTTTACATACTGAGAACATGTATGTAGTAGTTCTTCCCATTGCTTAGGTATCTATAATGGTAGATATTTGGTTTTTTGCTTTTTTTGTCATTGACTTTTTGCACCACACGGTTTCTTAAATTATTTCTCCTGCAAAAATCTCAGGTAAAATCCAGATCTACCAGAAAATTGCTTCTGGAATATCTTCTGGAAATACCCAAGGTGAACCACAGCAAATGAGAGGTGAGCAGCCCATGGAAGTACTTGAAATGCCATCTCAGTTCCCCTTGCATTCAGGAGAGAGAGAGGAGAACTCGGATTGTTTTCCTGCTCAGATCACAGCTAATGTAATGGTTTCTTTCCAGATCCTTACTGGATACCCAGGAAGGAACTGGAAAATGCCGGGTATGTGTTTTGCAGGAGTTCCTTGGGTTGCAGCAGGATGCCCGTGAAAAGCCAGGCACTCAAATTCTGTTGAGGGCCCAGGCTGTGATTTTTTGGGCAAACCAGATGTGCAGATCACCTGGAGGTGCAGCAGTTCAGCTTTCTGCCTTGTCAGGAGAGAACTGAGCTGTTCTCTCGAGTTCAGTGTAGGTTTTATGGTCAGCCTGAAGGTGGCTAGTGGAAGTGCTCAGTTTAGTCACTGAAAAAAGCACCTTCTTAATTTAGGTGCATTGTTTCATTTCCCCTCTTCTGAGGGCCTGGGGAAAGTGCTGAGCCAGCTTGTTCTGAGTGACATCAGTGCCCAAACTCACAAGATCCAGTGAGAATGAGTCTGACATTGCATCTTGCACTTCTGTTCTTGCATGGAGAAATGTGGGTTTTGCACTTCGGGGCCACTGCCTTTGGACTTGTGTGTGGGGGTTTCAGACGGGCTTGCCACCTGTGAAAATCACCTCTTTGTTCCTAAGATAATGGTGAAAACATCAACCAGGATGGGCCTCAACTTCCCATCAGATAAATGACACTTAGAGGAACAGGACACTGAAGTACCCATTGTATTATTTACTCACTAAAGGCCTTCCTGGGAAGCTTTGGAAAACCCATGGTTTCGAGATTTGCCTGTTGGTATGTCAAGCTATTTGTGTCAGAAACACCTCTATTCCATAAACGTGTGGAGAGAAGGGAGCTGTAGCTGGGGCCTGTCCTGTTAAACAAAAATGGTATATAAACAGGAAGGGTGGAAAAGGATATTGCTAGAGAAAGAGCAGCCTCTCCCTCTTGCACTCCTGCTGTGAGGAATGCAATAGGAAATTCCTGCTGCAGGATTAACAATCATAAGGAAAAATAGTTTTTAAAGCATGTGTGTAAAGCTCTTGTGAAAAGTAAAGATCTCATTCCAGCCACTGCTCTAGCACATAAACAGACTCTTGTTTCCCTGCTTCAAAACAAAACAAAAGCCAAGAGCAGAGATGTAGAACTAAAGTTTGCTTTAAGAGGGACTCTGAGGGATCAGGCCAATTCTTGATAGCGATCTGAGAAACTGCAACAGGATTGATTCCAACCACCTATTTTTAGATTTTCCAATGGGGATGTAACATGGAGACAGCTGTATCTCAAGATAGATGGAGTGAAGCCAAGCAGTCCTGTGCTGGCGCGTTGGGCACCTTGAGCCGGCTGTAGGACCAGAGGTGAGGGTGGCCGTGGTGCCAGGAGCTGTGGCAGTGCCTGTGCCACCCTGGGCACAGCAGGGCTGTGCTGTGACAGTGCCTCTGCCAGCCCGGGCACAGCAGGGCTGTGCTGTGACAGTGGCAGTGCCTGTGCTGTGGCTGTGCCACCCCGGGCTGTGCTGTGGCAGTGCCTGTGCCACCCCGGGCACAGCAGGGCTGTGCTGTGACAGCGCTCACAGCCACGCTTTGCCCCGGGCCACCTTCAGCAGCTTCAAGGGCGCTGAGCAGGATGCACACGCCGGTGTTCCTGGTGTTCCTGTGCCGGGCTGCCCCGTGCTTGAGGCGGTGTTTGGGGTCTCGGTGGCCGGGGAGCAGCCGGCGGGCTCGGAGCCGCCCCGGCACGGCGGGGTGCAGGCGTGCTTGAGGCGGTGTTTGGGGGTCTCGGTGTTCCTGTGCCACCTTGAGGCGGTGTTTGGGGTCTCGGTGGCCGGGGAGCAGCCGGCGGGCTCGGAGCCGCCCCGGCACGGCGGGGTGCAGGGGGATGTCCCGCCGGGCAGCTCCGTGTGCTCTGCAAATGACACCCTCGGCCAGGATCGTTCTCAGCCGCTTCACCTGACACCAGAAGCGTGAAGGGCCCGACCTTTGCACCACGAAGATCCTAATCCTAGACTTTGCCGATATGCTCATCAAAAAACAAAGGCCCACTGTATTTGCTGAGTAAATACACATTGCACTCACCCCCTGATCCTGGAAAACCTATATCTCCTTTGATGCAAAGAATACAGGTTCGGGCGGGCCACTAATGTGGAACAAAAAAGCCAAAAGGAATTAAAACAAGTATTTGAGAGCCAGCACCCGATAACTCCCTCGGCTGCCCGGTGAGGCCCGCAGCCGCGGATGTCTTTCCAGGGATGCGGGCGGTCACCCCGATGGGAACGTGCCGGTTTGCCCCGCCCCGGAGGCGGGGAGCGCCCGGGGCGGGCCGGGCTGGGCCGGGCCGGGCCGGGCGGAGGGGCCGCCCCGCCTCTTAGTCGGCGGCAGCTGCTGCTGCGGGGCCGCCGCCGTGGGCAGCCGCCATGCCGCGCTCGCTGAAGGAGGAGACGGCGCTGCTGCTGGAGGATTACTTCCAGCACCGCGCCGGCAGCGCCGCGCTGCCCCCCAGCCCCACGGCGGCCACGCTGCGGCGGGCGGCGGCCGAGCTGGAGCGGCAGGAGCGGCCCTTCTTCCGCTCCTGCGCGCCGCTGGCGCGGGCCGAGCCGCGGGAGGCGGCCGCGCTGCTGGGCAGGGTGGCGGCGCAGCTGGAGGCCGACGGCGGCCTCAACTGGGGCCGGCTGCTGGCGCTCGTGGTGTTCGCCGGAACGCTGGCGGCCGCGCTGGCCGAGCGGGGCTGCAGCGACGGGCCGCGCTGCCTGGCCGCTCACCTGGCCGCCTACCTGGCCGAGGAGCGCGGCGAGTGGCTGGAGGCGCACGGCGGATGGGTGAGCGGGGCCGGGGCGGCGGGGAGCGGCCTGGGGCGGGTGCCGGGACCCTCAGCGGGGCAGGGCAGGGCAGCCCCCGGCTCCGTGCAGCGGCTCGTCCCAGCGGGAGACGTGCCCGGGTTACTGCCGGCGATGGGCGTGCACCCGGGGCTGCTGCTGCCCATCGCCACACGCGGTGTGTCCCCAGGCGGTGCTGCCCATCGCCACACGCAGTGTCCCCGGGGGCTGCTAATGCCCATCGCCACATGCAGTGTGCCCAGGCGATGCTGCCCATCGCCACACGCGGTGTGTCCCTGAGACGATGCTGCCCATCGCCACACGCGGTGTCCCTGAGGGCTGCTGCCCATCGCCACACACGGTGTGTCCCCAGGCGGTGCTGTCCATCGCCACACGCGGTGTGTCCCCAGGCGATGCTGCCCATCGCCACACGCGGTGTGTCCCTGAGGGCTGCTGCCCATCGCCACACGCGGTGTGTCCCCAGGCGGTGCTGCCCATCGCCACACGCGGTGTGTCCCCAGGCGATGCTGCCCATCGCCACACGCGGTGTGTCCCCAGGCGATGCTGCCCATCGCCACACGCGGTGTGTCCCTGAGGGCTGCTGCCCATCGCCACACGCGGTGTGTCCCCAGGCGGTGCTGCCCATCGCCACACGCGGTGGTGCGGTGCTCGCTGGGCCATTGGGGTGCCTGCGGCCCCGGTTCTGCGGCGCAGCCAGCTCCCTCCGGCCCCGTTGGGATGCGGCCTCCTGACAGCGCAGGAGGGATGCTGCTGGGTGAGGGAGCGAGGTTTGCCTTCCCCCCGAGTCCACAGCCCGTGGATTTCGGCGAGCAGGCTGGCACAGGTCCTCTCCCAGGTGTGAGCACAAACCTGTGCCTGTTTTTAAGTACAGCTGCGTATTAAGGCACCAGCCTCCAGACCTGCGGCGCTTGTTGCTGTCTGTCCCGAGGCCCGTCAGGTCGGGTGTGGGCATTTTGCCCCGAGAGATGCACACTTGGAGGTACAGCTTTTAAGGCATTGGTGCAGCTCTGCCTGCATTTCTGAAAAAAATGTCAGCTATCCCACAAAACTGCTCGTTTCCTATTTCCAGTCCTAGTGGAATACTTTATGTCAGTACAAATAAGCACTAAAAATAGAAAGGAGGGGAAGTAGCCACTGATTTAGTTGGCTTTGCCAGAGGCCAAAATGAACTTGGTTTTCCAGTGGTCACTGGTCCATCTGGCCACTCAGAACAATGTGGTGGTTAGCTGCAGAGAACACTGTCACTTGGCAAAATCTGTAAAATCTTATTGCCTGTCCGCACAAATCAAAGTGTAAAGAACAAAGTTCCGGAAGAAATTAAGAGTATAACTTGTTTACATAGACATCTGCGGAGCAGAGTTCAAATACGACCATCTGGAGTTGTATTGCTGCCACTTCTGATTATCACAATGATCTGGGAGAGCAGCTGCCAGCTTTGCTCTGTCATAGGTCAGCTCTGAGCAGTGTCCACCCGGCCCTTCCAAGAGAGTGTGTAATCAGTCCCACATCTACTGAAATGGGACTGGTTTTGGCCTCCTGTCTCAAAAAGTGGAAATTTCCATATCCTGTGTTTTAGATGCTTTCTGAAACTTAAAGTAGGAGGAACAGTGCTGACAACTTCCATCAGAAACTTGCCTAAAAGGGCAAAAATATGTAATGACACACTGAGCATCTCAATAGGAAGTGTCCAATTATCTCTTGAGCTACGTATGCAAGCACTTATAGCTACTCCTTTCTGTTGCCTTGTGAAAAAGCTCTCACAAAATGTTTTTGCCTGTGCCCAAGGGTTTAGACTCCATGACTGGAACAGAGACTTGTGCAGCTGACAGAGGCTGAGCGGAGAGGATGGAGCTGCGCTCAAATGCTTGTTGAGGAGATCCAGTAAACTGCAAGCTGAGCAACTGAGTGTCCTTTCTGTTGCTGTTGCAGGATGGCTTCTGTCGCTTCTTCGGCAGACAGGGCTCGGAGGCGGGCGAGCAGAGCAGCACCATCGGCAACGCCATCATGGCAGCGGCGGCGGGCATCGGCATGGCGGGCTTGGCTTTCCTCTTGGTGCGGTAGGCCCACGAGCGCATCTTGCCGAGGGAAAAGTACTCTCAAAACTGACAATTTACCAGATTTCACTTTATTTTCTATAGAACAGACCCTCTAAGAAGAAGTCTATATTTTTAAACTGGCTCAGAAAACTGCCTCACCAAATCCTTGGTTATAAACTGCTTCACTCGCTACCCAGTAACGGCACAAACGATACTAGAGCACTATTTGTGCATGTTCAAAGCCTGTTGTCTCCAAACATCCTCTGGACTTTCTTTTTTGAAGGTGTAACCTAAACTTTAGCATGGTTCATGTACTGTAACTTCTGAGTGCTTGATGTTATACTAGGAAAACATTATGGTGGGCTTGCTACTAAACCCTCTGTTTGAGACGTCTTATTTACGTGGAGGCAAGTTTGGAACCCGCGTTCATTAATGCTGTAAAGTGGGTGAACGTTGACTGTGATCTAACGTGGCTTATGGTTTCAAACGTGGTGCACAGCACTTGTAATCAAAAGGCAACTCATTTGTTGATTTAGGGCAGTTGGTGCCTGTGATGCTAGAGGCATTAGGGCTTAATGTAACCTAAGGCTGAATTCATTACACTACAAGAAGGTAAGTATTGATACAGGACAGTAATGGCTGCAGTACTGGTTCCTACTGAAAGGAAAAGAATTTAAATATTAAACCTTAATTGGTATATTGAAATCCAGTGAAGGCTGGAATTTCTCTGGATTTCCCTTGCAAAGTGAGAATTTCCATATATCTTAATATATTTTTGGAGTATTTATCACTGTATAATACTTGTAGCCATGACATCTTTATTTTTGTTTAAAACTTAATGCTGGTTCTTGTCACTAGTGTGTATCAAGCGTTGTCTTGTTTTAGTAATGTTTCACTCTGTTTTCAAAATGCTGTGTATTTCTTTCAATGGCTGTACAAATTGCCTTATGTTTCTGGTAGCTTTTGAATAATGTTCCTGGGTCACTCACAACGTGTACAATTTTACTATGGTGACTTCAAGGTGAATAAATGTTAAGTATTTTTATTTTAAAAAATCTTTCTGTTATTAGATTGGATGGGTGCTGGTGCTCAGAGTGAGTGTTTTGGTGGTTACGTGGATGCATCAGTTTATATTCACTGTATTGCTGGTGCTTTGACCTGAGACAAGGACTTGAGCACCAGAGCAGTTTGATACCAGTCTCCAATGCAGTCCTGCAGTCCAAACTAGAGCTAACACAGCCTGAGTGGAAAATCCCGTCCAAAAGGTCCATCTTCACCATCGTGATTGGAAGCAGCCTGGTGGTTTTGTAGGCCAAAGTCTACTAACATAGGTGGGTGCAATTAGGCTCCTCTGAGAGCTGATCCTGCTGTAGAGAGTGACAGAGCTCTTGTTTCTTCTCTGCCAAGACTTGCTGCTGCCTCTCTCACACCTGCATGCTTTTTTACTGAAACTGAAGTTTCTGGTCCCTGTTATGATGACAACTGTGCAATGTGTTGGTGGAGTTCAACCTTCTGGATCAGCCCTACTGAGCAGCTGTACTCTTTGAGGGTCTCTTATTTTAAAGGCTGGTCTCATGCCCCTGTCTCCAGGCTGGGGGCTCTGATGCCTGTTAAAGCTGCAAGTCCAGTGGGCAGCCAGCTTCCTCTTGGGACAGCTCAGCCTGGCAGCCAGGTCAGCATCACTGTGGCTGGCAATGGCCACCCTGCTTCTCCTGCTGGCCACTGGGCCCTGAGGCAGGCGTGCAGCAGCCACAGCCCCGTGCTGGACAGAGCAGCGTTGTGCTGGCCAGCCCCAGATGTGGGGACAAGGACAAAAAGGGGCATTCAGGGATGGCAAGTCCCGCGCAGGCAGGAAGGAGCTGGTGGTCCTTCCCCTCACGCTGCTGGCTCTGAATAAATGTCTGCTTGTTCTCCAACTTCCAGTTCTCTAAACTCCAGCTTGCCTCCTCTCAGCAAAGGGATTAAGCAGTCCATGGTGCAGGACTGGGCTCAGTTCCTCTCTCAAGTTCCCGCAGGGATGGCAGCTGAGTGCTCTGGGTATCTGCCTGCAGTCATCCAGGAGGCTGCAGAGCCCAAAACTTTGTCCACAGTGGGATTGAGCTGGGGGTCCTGGGAGCTGAAAGTAGCTTCTAAAACGTGGGATGCTTAGAGGGATATATGTGATGAAAAGCATGGGGAATGACAGGGCAAGAAATGCTCTAAACCGAGGTCAAATGTCTCCTGTACCAAACAGAACAAAGATAAAATATCTGTATCTTGATTTTCAGTGTAATCTGATCTGGCAGGCTCCACAAAAACAATAGCAGAGAGGATATTTATGCTGGCTTCTACAGTGTGCTCTGGAAAAGTGAAAAACCCAACAAACCCAGCCTGGAAATGTCCTTTAACAGTCACATCAGCTTTTGGTGTAAACCTGACCCTTTCCAAAGTGCAGCTTGAAGAGCATCTGCCAGTCTTTCTTGGCCTGGGAGAAGCTAGGAGTGGGCTTTCTAGGAGCCAGGAAAGCTGCAAGGCTGAGTCAGAAGGCTGCAGTGCAGCTCTGCAGTGGCAATACTGCTCTGGTCTACCTGGGAGCCTGTGCCCAGTCCCCTGAGATCAGGGGGCACAGCCCAGGCTGCTGGAACCTGGCACAGGTGGGTAGCTGCCCATCCTAGCCAGAGCCATGCTCCTTGAGCTGCTCTCTGCTGACATGGGAATGCAGGATTGAAGGGGAGGACTTCAATCACTGGAGCTCTGTTGATTTCAGGGCAGTTCAGACTAACTTAGATTTGCATGACTTCTGATTTTTTTTAAAAAAAAACTATTTCAGTTTCAGCCTGACAGTTTGTCTCAATGAAGTAATGTATTTCTCAATTGAAAACTGCTGCTCATCTGCTTTTCTACCTCACAAGAGGGAAGCAAGATGCTGCTGTTCCTTCCTTTAAATGCAGAAGTGGGGTAGCTGGTGTTTCAGTACAAGGCTGTGTCTAATCCTCAGGGCACTTTTGCCTCTCCAGCTCTGTGGTGGATGCAGCAGCCTCATCCAATCTGAAGATGAGCAATTGCTGCAGGTTCTGCTAGGCCCCAGCGTGCCTCTGCCTGCAGAATCCTGGCTTGCTTCAAGGCACCGAGTGCTGCCAGGACCAGGGAGAGGAGTGAAGGTGCTGCCTGGGCTCTCCCATCCTCTGGCTGCTCATCCCAGATTTGATCTTTCCTGCTCTGTGTGAAGACCTGTGGAGGGCTGAGGGGTGGGGAAGGCGGTGTTCCCACTCTTGGAAGTGCTCACAATGGTCTGACAGGAGCTGTCAGTGCTCTCTGCTCTGCTGCACCTGCTCCCTGCCCAGCTCTGCTCTGAAGGGGCACACGCTGTAACCACGGGCCAAGCTTGCAGTGCTGTTGCAGCAGCCCAGCTGCTCATTAAAGGAAAAAGCAATTTACTCATCAGTCTGAAGAGCGCTGAACTGGCCAGCGGGTTTCTTTCTGACTTGGAAAAAATGAGGCACTGTTAGAGCTCAAAAAAATGTGAGTTGCAGGATGGTGTTATATGGCAGGTGGTGAACTGCTTTGCTGTGGTATGCAAAAAATCTGGTCTGGCACGTCTCACTGGAGAAATTGGTGCTGGTGCTGTGTCCTTTTCTGCCCATGCATGCTGCAGGGTGGTACCCAAGCCTGGGTAGGACAGGAGAGCCCTGTTACAAATGACTTAGCAATTGGACAGCCAAAAAACCCCAGAGAATCACTGGAAAGAAAAAACGTCAAGTGGTATAGCATTTATTCACATAATTTCACTTCTTGTGCTCTTTCGGTTTAGATAATGAAAACAAACTTCTGGGTTTCACTTCTGTTTCTCCAACTGCTTTCTGTCCCAGACTCAAGCTGGATTGTCCTTGCCAGGACAAAATGCTGTGTGGAGAGAGCAGTCATAGCTGGGAAACCACTTGCTTTCAGGTTTAAAAGGTATCGTGTAATCCTTCTTAAATGCTGCCATTATTAGGAACACTTTTAAATGTTATCTTCAAACTGTTAACAATTATCCTGTCACTAACTGAAGTTTTTAAATGAGAACAGAGTTAAAAATAAAAACATAAAATCCTGATTTACTTTGAAGTCAAATGCAGGAGGTCTAAAAATCAGCTCTCTGCTGAACTAACAACATAATTTTGTTGGATTTTTTCTCTGCCTGGGCTTGGTCTATTTGTTTAATTCAAATGAGAGGTGGAAGAGAGGAGCTGGCTTGCTTTGTCAAAGTCTCTTTTCCAACAGGCTGTGTCTTTCTGCCCAACCTGTGGTAAGTTTCTAGCACTACAGCCTGGAGCTGATACTTGCCCATTGGCAATCTCATGGTTTCTGGATGTTCACCCAAGCTGGTGTGTGTTGCACATTTCTTTCAGTTAAGAATTAAACCTGTTAAAATGAGTGCTTAAAGTCAGCTGGGGCCACTCTGGCCATGGGGGTGAGTGAAACTGGAGGTCTGTAGTAAGAGATTGCAGTGCAGGGCATTGGAAAGCCTCGGTGCAGAGAGACACTACAGCAAGTTAGTGTTTTCTGGATTTAATCCCTCTAATGATTCTGACCTGTGAGTACAGTTCACTTGAGGAAGTTCCTGTGTTTGACCCAACCTGCTCTTTTGTTTGTCTGAACAGCTCAGCACATGGTGAGTAACAGCAGGAACCCCACACCCTGCTTACAGCATCTGGTACTGTCTTTTTTTGTTATCAAATGTGGCTTATACCCTCAAGAAGCTGTGTGGGGAAGGGTGGCCTGCTGCAGTCTAAGCACAGGAGATTTCTGTGCTGCATTGCACCTTGGGGGGACTGGACATGGCAGCTGGAGCTCTGCTCTGGACACCAAAGCCAGGAGTTCTTGCTGGCACTTTCAATTTGCAATGCATAATAGTAAAAGGGCAGAACCACTTGACTTCATCAAAGGCTGGGGAGAGAGCACTGTTTGTAGTGTGCTACCTAATGGCTGGTTGGCTTCTTCCTTGTAGCTATTACTGTCTTCAGGAGAATCCCAGGCTGTTGTAATTAATTTTGAAACACTTAATTATGAAGCTCTATGATGAGCTCATTGGAAACTCCTAAAATACAGGCAGAGCCATGTGGCTCAGGTGTGGAGTGGGTGCAGGGCAGACAGTGGCAACTCCTTTTTCTCTGGAACTGCCATCACCCAACCTGCTGGCACACAGCCTGGACCCTGCTGCTCCTCTGGCTGGACATGGTTCCTTTGTGCCCCCACCAGCCCGGGGCTTCCCGCCCTGTCCTTAGACAGGGGATGTGCTCCCAGAGCTCCCAGCAGCTGCCTGCTGGAAGCACGGCCCTGCTGGGATGCATCCTGTGCTGTGCTGGGCCTGGCAGCATGGGCATGGCTGCCTCTTGGTGCCAAGCCCCAGCCCATGGAGGAGGGGCTGTAAGGTGCTGTGCTGTGTGGTGGTTAGATGACTCTGATGATTCTGATGCATGAGCAAGAACCAATTCCACCAGTTGTGTGTAAAAGAGCCTTGTAAAAGTGGTGGCGTGATCAGTGGCAGCTGGGAGCTGATGGTGCTTGACAGGCAAGGCAAATGCTTGTTTCCTGATATCCAGCAGAGATTTCAATGTGGAACCTAATTATGCTGGGAGCCTACAAGTGATGAGGCTCCCTGAGCATCTCAGTCCCCAGGGGATTGGTGGTGTTCCCAGGTGCCAGTGCTGCTGAGGAGGGGCTGGGTTTCTGCCTGGGCTGTGCTGGATCCTCCCTCAGCCCATGCAAAGGAGCACCACTGGGCTGTGACAGGCTGTGACAGTGTTCCTGTCACAGGGTGTGGGGCTGCTGCACAGCCACTGCCTGCTCTGGAAGCCTTGCCCTGCAGTCACACAGTAAGTGGTTTCCATCCCAAAACTCCACAGAAACCCCTGAGCCTTCTGGCTCTGGATAGTCTTTAAAATGTGCAGGGTTTGAATATTTCCCCCTTTTTTTTCCTTTTTTTTTTTTCCCTCCAAACACCTGCGTGCCCTGAAGGACAGAGACCTGCAGTGCCTGACTGGCAGTCCCAGCCTGAGCACCCTCCTGCCAGGGCGGCTGCACAGCACAGGTCACTCAGCTGTGGCATGAAGAGCCTGCCATCCTTAAGTGTCCTCACAGCAGCATCAGCCTTCTCCTCATCTAGAAAAAGGAAAAAAAAATTGCTCATGAACTCTTTTGAAAAAGGCACAAAACAGCACAAATCTTGCCTGTGTCTGTTTTTAAATAAAAGAAAAAGCATCTGGGGTCTTGTGTATTGTCCTTGGTGATGTTCAGAGCAGAACACCTGCCACTCTGAAACCCTTCCAGCTTTCCTAGTTGCTTTTTCCAAGCGAAGTCCTGCTCCATGGGAGGAAAAGGTTACGTGTGGGAGTGAGCAGTGCAAAAGATTATGTGAAACAGAAATCCCGGCGCCGTTTGTTCTGCCATCTGCTCCACGCTCCGTCCAGGCTGTGGGTGGTTTCCCAGAGTGCCCCTGCTCCCCTTCCTGCACGGCTGGCAAAGGCTTGGAGCTGTTAGAGCACATCCCTGCTGTCCCGGGGAGCTGTCCTTCGGCAGGGTGCAGCTGGGTGCTGTGCCTGCCAGCAGCGGGGGCAGTACTGGTGGCCACGCTGGGGCTGCCACCAGAGCCTGCTCCAGCTGCAGTGCAGAAAAGCTGGACTTCGGTGCCTCTGGCACAAATTCAGTGAGTACCAGGGGTGTCAGGGCTGGTACATCTGTGCCATCCCTGCAGGGAGCACTGGGGCAGGACAGCCACGGCTTCCCTGGCACTGTGCATGGTTCCATCATTGCAGCCCTGCTCCAGTGGGGCAGGATGTTCCTCCCTGAGCAGGGCAACTCCTGCCCGCGTGAGCTGCTGCCACCATCCCCACGGAGCAGCAGCAGGGCAGCCTGAGCCCTGCACAGCTCTGTGCCACCATCCGGCCAGTGGTGAGATGTGCTGAAGTGTGGGAGGATGGAGGTGGCAGGTTTGTCCCTGCTCCAGGGACAGCTGGTGAAAGAAAGGTGAAATCATCTTGCCTTTTACGCCTAGAGCCCTTTTCTGCTCTGCCTCCTCCCCCAGTCCCCTTTTCCTGCTCTCCTCTGGTCCCCAGCCTGGCTGTGCCTGGGGCTGGGAGTTGTGCATTCCCTGTTCCACATCCCCCTCTGCCCCCTGCCCACCCTCCCCACAGTGCTCACTTGGGAATGTGACCTTGCTCTCTAGATTATTTACAGACAAAATATTGCTGCAGGCCTGGGGAAGGGTTTTCTGTGTTGTTTTTGCCTTTTTTTTTTTTTTAAGTGACTGGATTCCACAAAAACTGAATTATTCCAAGGGCGTGGGGGCCTGGTGGGAACGCTTTGCTCTGTTTGGGAACAGGCTGCCTGCAGCCATCTTCCCTGGCCAGCACAGGGATGCTAGAGGCTCTTAGTTTCCCCAGCTATACGGAACAATCTGTCTCTGGTTTTCTTGGAAAAACCCACCCCTTGCTGGGGGCAGGCTGCCAGGACGGGACACGAGCATTAACAGGGCTGTGGCACACATGTAACCAGGACCTGGCTGCCTCCCGAGGTGTGTGTGGGCAGGCACACAGAGCTGCCTCGGGTTACTGCACATTCAGGGGTGCTTTAGGTGCCTCCCCTCCCCACAGCCCTGGAGCTCTCCACTTCCCCTCACTTGGGAGCTCCTGGGAGCTTGCAACACACACTTGGTTTGCTGAGGACCTCAGACAGCGCTGTCACATCCGATCGGAAGCTGTGGTGGGCTGATTTCTCCTTTTTTTTTTGCTTTTACTGGCAGCACCAGCAGCAGCCCTTTTCCCACTGCTGACAGTTCTTCTGTCCAGCTGAACTTCTGAAAGCCTCATGGTGGTGGTTTCCCATTGAGCAGAGCCCTCGTGCCTTTGACCTTGCACAGCTCTGGCTGTGTCCCCTTCCCGAGGCTGCTGCAGGCACAGAGCTGAGCACTGCACACAGCAGTGAGTTGTTATGTTCCAGCAGCACTGGGTGTTTGGGATGGGGCTCACCTGGGGTCCCTGGCTGGCACAGGTTTCCTTACAAGGTCAGCATAAGCCTTCAGGTGCCCACAGCCTGGGAGTTGTCCCAAGTTAGACTGTGTGCTCAGCTTTTATTTGGGAGTAAGCACTGTCAGCTGAGCTAGACTCGATCACAGACACTGAGTGCCTGTTTTGCTGTGGGAAGAGTTCTTGTGCCAAATCCCTTGGTCTGGCCTGGCATGCAGCATGGCTTGATCTCTGGAGGATGAGCTGCTGAAGGCCTGGCAGGAGCACACTCTCCTCCCCGCTGAAACTGGGGCTGCTGCCGGGAAGTTGCTCAGCAAGCCTGGCCACAGGGCTTGACCATGGAGCAGGCACTCAGAGCCATTCCCTGCCTGCTGTGGGGTAGGTGCCAGTCCTCTGCAGTGACTCCAGCTTTCCCAGCTTGTGGAGGTGATGGGCTCATCCAAGCCCCTGCAGAAGCATTGGGTGCAGGAAGGATGCTGGGCAGTGAGGGGATGCTGGGGGGATGGAGATGGTGCCCCCTCAGCAGGACCTTGATCAGTCAAGTGAGTTCAGCTGTGGTGGTTTGGAAGCCCAATTAGCAGCAGACTCATCTGGCTGGTGGAGTCATGGGAAGTGCTCTGGTCTGTGTGCTGTCTGGGGACTGCTGAGCTATGGAGAGCTCTGGGCAAGTCATAAGTAGCATACTGCTTATAAACAAGGGCAAAAATCAACAGATTTTGTTCAACAGAATTGTGAAGTTTCCCTTGTTGAGAAGCCACAGGGAAGGCTGGGACAGGAAGACAAGTGGTTTATTATTTTAGTCAAATCCTTTTCTTGGCTGCAGCCAGCACATTCAGCAGAGTGGCAGAAACTCACCAGGTGAGAGGCAAAAGTACCTGCTGAGATGAAGAGCAGAGGCAGCAGATAAAGGGCATGGTGGGGCTGTGCCTGTGGGGACTGCTCCTTATCAGCACACCTGCTGAGTGCATTGCAAAAGCAGCCCCTGGTCACCTGTGCCTTTGGGTAGCTGGGGGTTTTTCAGGCATGTTGCTGTTACCCTTTTTTACCACCTGGCAAAGCAGGAGGGAAGGGAGCATGAGGTTCAGGCTTCCATAAGAATGGGACCCAGTGCACTCTTCTCCAGATGTACATCCAGGTACAGATAATGCTGTTCCTCACCAATGGGGTCTCTGGCACTTTGCTTCCAGCCCAGAATGAATGGCTCAACTGGCCTGAAGAACCAAGGGTGACCAGCCCCATGCCTTGCAGGGGTGCAGAGCAGCCCAAGTGGGTTCCACCTGAGGAAGGGGTCCAGTGAGGCTGCTGCTGAGTAGCTCTCCACAGTGTCAGGCTAGCAGTCTTCAGAGTCAGCCTGAGGATTTCACAGGTGCTCGTGCCCCCTTAAACAGGAAATTTGGCATTGTGAGCTAAGCATCTTCTCTAGCTGGGTGTCCCAAATGGTTAACAATCCCAGCAGCAATGGATGGGTGGTGAGGAGATTGATTGCCTCCTGCAAGGTACATAAAGTCTCGCTCTTCTGCAGAAACACAACACTTGTTCAACCAGGTAAATAACTTGTTTAAAATCCCCTCTTGCAGCAGCTGACCCTACACGTGTTTATCCAAGTGACTGGAGCTGTGCCAGTCTCTCTGGTAAGTGACCTTTCCCGAATTTTTCTTTTCAAGTTGACATTTAAGAAGGGGGGGAAAAGTCACAGCAACAAATGGTGTTTTAACAGTGATAAAGCTTTACTCGTCAACAAAGCCAGGAAAGCCACACTGGAGCCTGTGCTGGTGGCTCTGCCATCCCGGCCGGAGTCCATATGGACAGCACTGGCTCGTGTTCCCTGACCTGCCTGGGTCTGCATGAACCAGCATCTGCAGTGGGCTGCTCCTGCTGCCTGGGCTGGGCTGCATACTTCTGCAGCTCCTGGGAAAGGCTTCTGGGTGCAATTAAGTCTAAGGCAGCTGCTGGCAGCTGGAGGCACTCAAAGTATTAGTTCATTACTGCAATTCAGATGAGGAAGAGCCTTAAATCTCTGAGAAGAATCTGGGTTTGGCAGGCAGTGGAGTGCTTAGCTTATTGGGAAAACACCTTGGATAGTTTTGGTAAATGTTCTACTGCGTAGGCAGGCAAGTAAAATTTACCCCTAGTTTTCATGTTCCTTGGTTCCCAGCTTCAGCCCTTACCATGGCTTACCCCTTGCTCCTGACAATGCTCTCACAGGGAGGTATTTAAACTCTGAAGCTTTGGAGGAGGTTTACCTCTTAGCCCAGATGCCCAGTACATGAGCTCCTCTTCCAGGCTGGAAGTCCCAAGGGCTTCACAGAAGGCTGCTCAGCACATTTGGGCTCCCCAAATCCTGCCCTCCCCACATCCTGATAGATGCCATACCTCCACTGTGCCACCTGTCAGCCACTGCCACCTCCTCTGGGCTCTACAGGGTCCCTTGCATGCTCCTGCCTTCTCCATCTGCAAAGCTCCCACAGCCCTCCTGCAGCCCTTTCCCAGACTTTTGGCTTAGTTTCAGATGGTGAGCAGGACTGAGAGCAGCAGCTGGTGTTGGTGTCTCCCTGTCTCCCTGCAATCCTCCTTCCAGCTCCCCTCCACAGAGTGCTGCTAGTGATGGGCCAGCCTGGGGCCATGCCTGCTCAGTCCTGTCTTGAGAAGAGAAATTGAAACAAGGACTTCCCAGCTGGCTGTGTTTCCTGTAGCATGAGGGACAGGCAGTGCTGGGGTGGTTTCCTGGCATTTCTTGCAGATATCCTGATGGGAGTGGCTGCAAAAAGGCAGGAGGCAAGGAGGGGACAGGGGCAGCAGTGCAGTCAGACAGGGACATTCTGCTGGCTCAGGGTGACCATCTGTGCTAGAGGAAAAAAACAATAACAAAAAAGCCCAGGTAAGTGGAACAGTAAAAATGCTTTTAGTGAACTGATAGCCAAGCCTTGCCTTGGCTGGCCATGTCCCTGTGCAGACCCAGTTCCACAGGCAGGGCACTACAGCCCCAGGCTGGCAGCAGCAGGGCCAGGAGCTCACAGAGTCCCCTGTTAGGGGTGTCCCTCTGCCACAGCTCTCCCCACTCCGTGCTGTCCCCAGGAGCGCTCTGGCCCTGAACATTAACATGAAGCAGACGAGCTTCTTTGCTGGGCTGTGGCTGAGTGTTGCTTGTGTGAGGCTCTGAGGCTGCTGGGCAACATTGGGACCTCCTGCACTAAGCAATCTTTAATCTGCCGTGGTAAGAATGCCTCATTTTGCCTCTGCTCTCAGCCAGCCTGGTGTTGGCTCGCTGCAGGGTCAGTACGTGAGCCCTGGCGCGGGACAGCCTGTATCCGGAGCCTTCCTTCCTCTGTGATAACGTCAGGGCTGCAACAGGCAGCTATTTCAGTCCCAGGAATGCCAGTGGATGATTTCACTTTTGTTTCGTACCCGATAACCTTTCCCATCACAATGAGAGACGACGTCCGTGCTCCCCGCGCTTCCGTGTGCGAGGGGAAAGCCATTCAAGCGCCTCTGCAGGGGAAAAGAAAGAGCCAGGTTAAAAATAGATTCTGATTGTCCATGGACCCTGGGCAAAGGAAGGGCAAAAGCCTTTCCATTTTTTATTGCCCAGTCCCATACACTGGGAGCAGCTTTTCTGGCTGAGCCGGGGCGTGAGGACAGCGACCGTGGGAATATCTGGTGTGCTGGCTCTTTGCGTCAGCCTCGAGGGGATGGGAAGGTCTGTGAGAGACTTTCTTCTCCATGCAAAGATGTCCTGATGTCAGGCCCCAGGAGTGCTACACACCCCCTTTTCTTGTCACCTGCTTGTCTCTACCCTTCCTGCCCTTCTCCAAGTCCTTTCCCTGCTGGGTTTGTGGCTGGATGTTTGGTCAGGAGCTTGGCGAGACAAACTCACCCCAGGCCTCAGGCGAGAAAAGTCTGGTCAAACCCAAATTGCTAAAGCTCAGCTCCAATTTTTATTTCCTGTGGGGAAGGAGTCGGCCAAACTAACTTGGTTTTTTTTCAGCTTTCAGCCTTTGACTTCCCACGAACTGCTGACCCATCATGTGACAGCTGTGGTGGGGCCAGTGCTGCGAGATGTGGTATCGGTGCTTATCGCCCCTGCTCGGGGGGAAGGGCCCCCAGCTGCCCCGGAGCCTGGCTGTGCTGGGGCACCAGCAGCACCAGCTCCGGCCTCGGGGAGTGGGCAAGCCCCATGTGTGTCAGAGGGAGGGCTTATGTACCAGCAGACCCCATCCCTTATGGAGAGATGCTTCCCTGCTCCCTTGGAACAACTGCTTCATGCCCACCCGGCCTTCAGAGCCCTGCACAGGACATTTTGTGGGCTGCCAGACCTGGGCTCCTGTTTAACCAGTCCCTCTGCCCAGTGGGAGGTTTTTGCTTGCTCCCCCAGCACATGACTTACAGGGTGGCTCCAAACTGCTCTTGGTCTTCCTGGGCTGGAGCCTGTTTACAAAACAGTGGCTGAAAGCTGCTATTTATCCTTACATACACATTGCATTCAGAGTTGCTAAATAGGCAAACCCAAAATGAAAGTCATCTGGGTTTTCTTTAATTAGAATAAAATCCTGATGAATCAGGAGGTTCTGTACCTCAAGGATGCACCAGGAATTGACTTTGGCTGCAGACAGCAAGGTACAGCAGTCAGCAGAGCCGGCTCGCTGCCTTGACATCTGCTGGAAAGACTTGTTTTTCCCTCCCGAGTCACATGCTAGCTTGTGATCTGATCATGGGATACAAAGGATAACCTTCCAATATTTGCTCTTCTCATCTGCAATTTCAAAAGGCAGGGGAAAAGAGCAAAAAGCAGCATAAGAGAGGAAAGCACAAGCCCCCTTTCCTCACTTGATTAGTGTTGCTGTAGGTGCTGTGCTTGTTGCTGGGACAGGGCAGGAGTCTGGCTGCAATGCCATGGGCTGTGCTTGTGCCTGTTGTGGCCCTGAGGGAGCATGTCAGTGTGGACAGAGCAATTGTTGCTCTGTGTTCAGCCACGTGGGCATCCTCCCCTCCAGTGCCACCCCACCTGTGTGCCAGCAGAGGTGGGCAGGGGCTGCCTGTCCCAGGGTGACCTGCACTGGCACAGGCAGGGGAAGCCTGTCCTCCCCACGGCTGCCCAGCACTGGCCCTGTGCCATCCTTCAGCATTCAGCTTTCACGTTTTATTATAAATGCCAAAGTGACATTTTTTATAACAATATCCTAATGTAGTCAGTCAGGCAGGTGGAGTTACTTGTGCTCTAGTCCAAAGGTTTATAGCAAGCCCAGCTGCAAGATTAAACCAGAATCACCCTTGAATAAAATCCCCTATATAATTTTGGGGGATTTTTTGCTAGTGCAGCTTGGGTACATTTATTTCTGTGAGCTGATGCCTATCAAGGACCAAAAACCCCCAGAAGTGCACCATGGTCCACAGGGGCTGTTGTCTTTGAGGCTTTCAGGCTGCTGAAGGCTTTGGGGGAGTTCCTGCTGCAGGGAGAGCAGCACAGAGCAGTGGGGCAGGGCTGTCTGCTTGCTGAGCCAGAGAGGTGTGTGCCACTGAGCACCAAATCTGCCACAGGCTGCATATGTGCAGCAAACCTGAATTGCACGTAGAGTGGGATTGCTCTGGGGATGACAGGCTGGGATCAGCAGTCTGTGTCTGTCTTTCCCAAACTGTGTCAGGGGAGATGCTCCAGGCAAAGCCAAAAGGGCTGTGCCTGTGTGTGACACACGATGTGTCATCCAGACAGAGTGAGGAACACCACCACAGCTGCCCTGACCAACAGTGGCTGCTTGGGGGAACAAGGAGGGGTGGATGTCACTGGGGAGAAGCAGCCAGCCCAGACTGAGTGATGAGAGCAGCACCCAGCCACAGGCTGGCCACAGGCTGGCCACAGCTATTCCAGTGTGACAGGGCTGAGTGCTGCGGTGTTTCCAGTAAAAACACCCTCTGCTGTCAGGTGGGGAGGGAGGTGGAGGGGCACAGAGGGAAGGTACCTCACCTGAGAGGGAGGGCACACGGGGAGGGAGCCTGCTGGGTGCCTTTGGTGTGGTGAAGGGTGGTTTGTGCCAGACAGGCAGATCCCAGTGTTGTAGGGAGCATGGCTGGGTGGTGGGTGAAACCAGGCTGCAAGGCCCAGCTGGCCCCTGTGCCTTTCCCTGGACCATGGCATTTGTGAGAGGGGCTTGGATAGCTGGGACCTAATACAGTTCCTGCAGGGAAAGCTGGGGCAGTGTTAACAGGAGGTGATTTTCAATTAAAACCCAAACTATCTGTGATTAAGGGCTGTCTCCAGTAGGCATGGGTATTTCTGATTTCAGATTTTGGGAAGTCTTGAAACTGTTTAAGTCCAAGCTGTGTTTCCCCTGCTATTACAGAGCTCCACATTGCAGTGTCCTAACCTACCCTCCCATGTCCACACTTAGCCTAAATACCCTTTTTTTTTCTGAAAAGTAAACCACTTTCTTTCCTTTGGCAAGTATTTCAGTGGCCTCTGCTGCAGCATCAGCCAGAGATGATTAGGAGGGCTGTGACGGGCTGATGAGGGGCTTGGTGTGGACTCATCAGTGGGCCATGTGGGACAGTGGCATATCTGCCTCTGGCACACAGCATTTGGAAGGCATTTGGGTTCTGTGGACCTGGTTGACCTGTCACTGTGCCCCAGAGGCATTTGTGAGCACTGTGGTTTCCTGGTTCACTGGCCTTTTGTCTGCCTCTATGAAAATTAGAGCAGGCCTGACCCAGAAAGCTGGATGCAAAAGTGATCAATAGTGATGGTAATTGGCCAGCAGCACTGCCTGGCTCTTGCTGTCTTAGTCCCAAAAGAGATAAATGCATTCAGAAAACACGTAGGTGTTCTGGCTCCTGTGGCTGCCTTATCAGCTGGAGGAGGCTTCAGCCTGTGGTCCTAGGGTTGTGGAAGGCTGATGTGACCATGCCCCATCCCTGGTGAATGGCTTTGGTCCTTCTGGTCCCCCTTCCCAGTGGTGGTGGTTCTGCAGCAGGTGTTGCAGTGTGAAGTGTTTGTTCTGCAGCAGGAGAGTGCCAAAGGCTCAGGTGAAGGGTGGCAGCAGGGGGGGCAGGGGCCATGGGAAGGAGGGAGGGGGACACAGCAGCTCTGGCTGTGATCCCACCAGAGGAGTGCCTGGGGAAGGAGATCTGCTCATCCCTGAGGGCATTGCAGACACTGCTCCTGGACAAGAAAGCAGTAAGGAAACAAATCCTAAAGAACATCCTTTTGGAGCAGTCTCCTCCTGCCTGCTGTGTCCCTAGGGGACAACAAGGGCTTTGTGGCTGCTCAGGGCTCTGGGGAACCAAAACAAGCCAGCATGAGCTCAGCGGCTGTAAATCAGCGGCTGCTGCGCAAAGGCACTGCCGCCTGCTTTGATCTGCAGTGCTTTTATTTCATACCCTCTGCAGAGATAGACACAAGGTCACACTAATGGCTGATACATGAAAAACTTATGTGGCCTTTATTGATTTTTGGAGTGATTAATGAGTCCAAGGGAAGGACAGTGATTCATGCACGTGAACGGTGCCTGGGAATGAGCAACGCTGGTCAGGGTGGCCTTTTAATTCCACAATCGAGCCTGTGTCCAGTTGCTTAGGGGTGGCAGCATTGCTGTCCCAGACATCTTTGCTCTGGGCAAACACCTGTTTGTACGCAGGGAGCTCTGGTGCCTGCGCCTCGGCTCTGTTTGCCTTGCTGTTCTCAGTCCCTTTTGAAAGGGGATCAAAAATAGCCAGACCTAGACTCTCACTGTAGCTTTGTTGACAAAGCCTCTTGAAGCTTTCCTGCTGCTTTCCCAGGTGGCCTGAGAGGAGAGGCCTGGGAGAGGTAAAGCACAGTGCCCTGCCCAGCCTCACATCAGGCAGCTGAGCACCCACAGGAGGCATCCTCCAGCTGTGGCCCTCTGGTCACCAGCATGTGAGCTCAGGGAAGGAGCTCCACAGCTGGCTGCTGTGATGAGCCCTGCAAACAAGGGGTTTTGAGGTGCTTTTCCACTCCCTCAAGCATGTGCAACTTCCTAGAGGCCACTGAGCTGTGCCAGGATGGATGCCCTCCCTCCACAGCCTCCATCCCAGTGCATGCTGTGGATGGGGCTCACAGCCCCCAGTTCACTCTGTGCCACACATTCAGCTGGAAACTGATGCAAGGGGAAGTCATCCTAATTTTGGAGGGGGACATCAGGCCCAGCTTGAAGGCAGTGGTTATGCAACTTTCCTTTTATTTGAAGAAACTTCCCCCTCCTGGTTGTCCCAGCTTTGTGGCCAAGACTTAAGCCATCACATTGCTGCCAGAGTTTGTTCTGCTGGGCTTGCTGCTTTCACATGGGCTGTCTTGCTGTGAGGGTCAGAGGTCTGCTGCACCTCTTATGGCCTGAGGACTTGCCACAGTGGATTCATTTGTTGCTGGCACTGCTGGTTATTTTTTTTCTCACTTGCCATTTCCTGATGTCTGTCCCTGTGTCCATTGAACTCTGCCTGTGTCCTCCATCTCCCCAGCCTGACCTCCAGAGCTCTACCCCAGCCTCCCGTGCTGTGGCAGAGTGATGTCCCAGCGTGCTGGGCACACTGCCCTGAGGGAAGGGCACAGGAAAACGTTCCTGGTGGCACAGGCAGGTGACAATGCCCATCCTGCAAGCTGCTGTGGTGCAGTGCCCAGGCTCCTGCCTTTGCTTTGCCCACCACCAGCACAGACACAGACACAGACCAGCCCCACACCCCTTTTCCTGCTCAGGAGTGGCTGCAGGCTGTTGGCTGTCTCCAAGGGAAGCTGAGGGGACACGGGGTGCTGGACCCAGTGTCATCCTGCTGACCATGGCACCGCAGGAGAGGGCGGGGAGCATCACAGGGAGGCACACAGAAAAACACTGTGCTCCCAAGTTAGCTACCAGGCCAGGTTGGTTTTCCTGTTTACTCCCTAAGTGGAAAATAGGAAAGGAGTAAAAAACCTCATCCCCTTGGCTATATAAAGGTCTTGTTGTGTGGACACAGAAATTTTACTTTCTTTCCATTTTTGCCTTGGTGTTGCCAGGTGTGTGGCGTGGGCTGTAGCGTCAGTAAAGCAAATAAAAGGGGATGCTGGGAATAGCAGCTTCTCTGCAGCAGATATTTCCTCTCAGACAGAGAATTTGATGGTCAGACCACTTTGGTGGTCTGCTGGTGAGCGTCTGTGTGGGGGTTCTGCTGAGCATGAGGGTCACAGAGGGTCAGGCAGGGCTTGTGTTGGTTGTGCTGGGGACACACAGGGACCCAGGTACGCCTGGCACTCCCAGCTGATGGCTGCTCACATCTCAAAAAGAGGGCAAAAAGTGAAGAAATCACACTATCCCTACAGAAATTCATGGGTAGGTTGCCAGGCAAAGGTTGGCTGGCAGGCTTGGCCAGCAGGAGTGAGAGGTCAGAGCAGATAAGACATTGTCATGCCAGGAAACTGTTTTGAGTTTACAGCATCAGGATGTGTTATGGGGATCATAAACCCTGTGATCCCAGAGATGTTGCTAAACCTTGTTTGCCTTGGATTGTTTGTCCAAAAAGGTACCAAGAGATGAACTCTTTCTTCCCTTGTAATTGCCAGTAATCTTATCTGAAGCCTCCAAAGTGTCCTAGAGACTTCTCAAGGCGATAACATGGAGATAACTGCCAAACAAAAAAGAAGTCCAAGAGCAGCTATTTCACAGGTCTGCTGGGAAATAGCACCGGGTTTTTGCCCAGTTTTTGTCACCCTTATTTGTCACAGAGAAGGAAAGGACACCCAGAGGTGTCCAAGTCTTGCTGAGACAGTGATTGACCTTTCTTGCCTTCTTGTTCCTCTGGGAGAAGCTGTTTTGATGAGTAAAGTAAGCTGCTTTAGCTGATTACTAGAAAATATTGCTGCATGAGAGCTGCAGCCCATGGCTCAGCTGTGCAGCTGCCCAGGCCAGTGGGGTGTGACTGTGTCTCACCAAAGGGTGTTTTTGTGTGTGTGTTGTGGGCCTGTGGATCCCCTTCAGACAAGGGGCTTGCTGATGGATCTGGTGGTGGTTTCAAGGTACCTTTGACTTCACAGGGTTTGTGGCTTCTCACTTGAGAGAGAAGCATCTAATCACCTCATCATAGACATAGAAAAGTAATGTACAATTGTAAAAAGGATCTTCCAAACATAGTATTTTTTAAAAAAATTCATTTTGGTGTCTGTATCTGACTAGTCTTCCTATAACATTTACTGCCTGTCCAGTTCTGGAGTCAGGACATGGATTCTATGTTAATTGTGGTTGCTTCATCCAGTTCATTGATTAAAAATGTGACATTTCAAAGAGAGAAGAAAAAATTCTTGTCTGACAAAGTGTCTCCCTGATGCTGGTTCATGGCTTAGATATGGCTTCAGAGCTATGAGTTGGCCAGGTTTTGCCACTGTTTTTATGTGCTACATGACCTTTTGTGTCACTCTGGTTCTCAGTCAAAATGCAATACAAGTAAGAGCTTGTACCAAATGTGAGTATCCTGTGTCAGCACCACAGCAAGTTACTGTGAGCAGATCTATTTTCTGCAAATCTTTCTTGATTAGCAAAATAAACTGTTTAAGGGAGTAGAGCTAAATCAATCTAGCCTTGCCTTGGCTCTGGGTCGTGGTGATTTGCCTCTAGCATTGTCCTGTTTACTCCTTCAAAGTACTGGCTTCGGGGTGTCCTCAGTTAATCCAGGTGCAACGTGGATTTTGGAAGTAATAAAAGGGGAGGTGAAGGGTACTTCAAGAAACCAGTGGGGCAAATGAGCCCTTCACTCCCCAGTGTGCTGATTTCATTAATACAAACCTGTTCACAGTCAGTGAAGACACGCTCTCAAAGCAAATTGATTTTTTTCTGCTGTTTTGCTCCCCCATTGCAAGGCTTTGGGCACTGCCAGCAGGGCTTGTCCCTGGTTCATGGGTGTGCCCTTTGCTTCCCA